TCGTGTCATCATCTTCTCCATCCTCATCCGCATCATAATTATCAGCGTCTTAATCAGGTTCACCATCATCGCCATCATGTTCGGCATCATGCTCGTCATCATCATCATCATCATCATCATTACCATCATCACCATCATCATCACCATCATCACTACCAACATCATCAACATCAACATCGTCATCGTCATCATGATCGTGTATGTCGTAATCATCAGCATAGTTGCCATCACCATCGCCATCGCCTTTGTCATGAATAGCATGAGCATCAGCAACATCGTCAGCAACATGGCCACCACCATCATCATCATCATCATCATCATCATCATCATCATTATTATTATTATTATTATTATTATTATTATTATCATTATTATCATCATCAACAGCATCGAGACCATTTCTTCTTCTAGCGGATCACGCATGTTAACCGGGGGGGGCAGGGGGGGGTAACGGTAACTGGGGCCGCGGCGCGCACCCCCCAAGGCGCGCCGCCTACGTCGTCGTCGTCGCCGCCCAAGCCCGCATCGCCTGTGCACACAGCGCGGGCTCTGTGCAATGCCTTTGTGCATCAGGGCTGCTACAGAAAACGTATGTGTGTGTGGACCATGGCGAGTGTGTACCCCATAACAACCGCGTGCACCACGACGCCTTTGTACATCGCGCGATCTGTGCACACCACGGCGCCTGCGTGCACCACAGCCGCTGTTTCAGCACCCCCTGTGCACAACAGCGCCTGCGCACACCGCAAAGTTCGTGCACGCCCGAAGGCAACGCCGACGGGGCCAAGCTCTGGAGAATCGTCGGGGGCCCGAACGTATCGAATCCAATATCTGAGTTGACTGTGATTATTTGTTTTTCTGGCCCCAGGAACGCTGGGATATGTTGGGCCCACAAAGACTGCGTACGCCATAGCGACTGTGCACGTCATGGCATCTGCGCGCGCCACGGCGCCCGTGAACACCGCGCGGCTTAAGGGCGCGCGGAGCGGTGTCAGCCAGGGGAATACGCAGGACACCCGCACCAGCAGGAGGAGCAGGAGGAGCAAAAGAAGCTCGGTGCAGGAGCAGGAGCAGCAGGAGGAGGAGCAGCAGGAGGAGCAGCAGGAGGAGCAGGAAGAGCGGGTACACTGCCTGCGTGTGCCACAAAGTTTTCGTAAACCTCCGCGGCCCCGACGGAGCCAAAGTCCAGGAAATTGCTGGGGGCCCGCATGCATCGTATCCAACATCATGATATGATTGTGATTATTGTCTTCTTCCTGGCCCGAGGAACGCACAGCGAATACGAAACACAACGCCTGTGTGCTCGGAAATGAGGAGGGATGAGGAAGAAGTGCGAAGATATGCGTGAGCCCATTATCACCCACAACGCACGCTCACATCGTAGCGACCTTGCGCACTACAGCGATTGTGTACACCACGGCGCCTGTGTACACCACAGGGCTTGTGATGTGTACACCACAATGCATGCGTACACCGTTTATGCCTGCGTACACCACGGATGCTGCTGCAACGACAGATGCGTGCGCCAGAACGCGTGCACACCGCACTGCCTGGAGTCATTCTTTTTTGAATCGGGGGGGCGCCGATGGGGCCGGCCGATAACCTAACTTTCGCGCTGTGGGCCGCCCTGCACATGCCCGCGCGCACCAGTGCCGCGGCCCCTACAGCTGCTAACGATGCTGCCGTGATGCTACTATTGATGCTGCAACGATGCGGGCGCCGTCTGAAAATACCTAAGGATGTCTGGACAGCTCGCATTGGAATACGCGGGATGTGATTGCCAAGCGTAGCCGCGACGTCTTGTGTACACTACCTATAGAACACGAGTGCACCACACTGCCTGTGAGCACTACAAAAAATGCGTGCGCCACAACGGACTTGCACACCACAGGTGCTGCTGCAGCAAAGGCTTCTGCGTGCACCACAGCGCCTGGGTACACCCCGATGCCTATGCATATCACAAGACCAACGTGCACCACAGAGTATGGTGAACATTTGGGCCACAGCGCTTCCGCGCACCTCCAAGGTCCCGCTGGGGCGCGAAAAGTGGAAAACCGCAGGGGGCCCGAACGTATGAAATTCAATACGTAACTGATTTGTGATTATTATTTTTTCTGGTCCGGGGTACGGTCCCCCAGTTTTTGGCCGACCACGCTCACCACAGCACCTGTCTAGCGTGCGCCACGACGCCTCTGTACACCACAGCTGTTTGTGTACACCGCAGCGCCTGTCTAGACAACAGTGCCTGTGTACACCACAACGCCTGTGTACACGACAACACCCGTGTGAACCACAGCGCATGTGTACACTGCGGTGCTTGTGCACACCACAGGAACCGCGTGCATCGCAGCGCATGGCAAACATTTGCGCAACGCGCTTCGGTGCACCTCCAAGGTCCCGCCGGGGCCAAAATCTGGAAAATCGTTCGGGGCCCGAACGTATCAAATTCAATACGCAACTGATTTGTGATTATTATTTTTTCTGGTCTGGGTACGGTCCCCCCGTTTTTCCGTTTTTGGCCGACCATGTTTGTGTACACCACAGCGCCTGTCTAGCGTGCGCCACGACGCCTTTGCGCACCGCAGCTGCTTGTGCACACCGCAGCGCCTGTCTACACAACAGTGCCTGTGTACACTGTACACCACGGTGCCTCTGTACACCACAAAGCCCGTGTGCACAGCAACGCTTGTGTACACTACACACTGCATGTGAACACGACGACACCTATGTGCACCACGGTTGCTGCTTCAGCACCGTACTCGTGCACCACAGCTCCAGTGCGTCACAAAACTGCTTACACTTCCAGGGCCCCCAGCAGGACCGAACTCCAGAAAATCGAAGGGAACCCGAACGTGTCAATTCTAATATGTAAGCTACTTGTGATTATCGAATTTTCTTGCGCAGGACACGGTCCCGTCTTTTGGACCCACAACGCCTGTGTACGCCATAGCAAATGTGTGCACTGAGCCGGAAATGTACACCGCAAGGCCTGTGTACATCACAGGGTGTGGCACACCGCAATGACAGTGCACCACAGTGTTTCTGTACACCACCATGTCTGAGAAGCCTACGTGCATAATAACTGCTGTTGCAGCAACAAATGTGCACAACACAAAGCGCGTCTTTGACACATTGCCTGGGTGCATCACGATGCCCGCGTGCACCGCGCGACCTACGTGCACTGATGCTTGCGTGCGCCACAACGCCTGCATACACAACAAATCTTGCTGCGAGAGCAGCAAATGCGCGCACCAAATCGCCTCGCTGCCTGTGCACAACGCAATGCCTGTGTACGCGCTGCTCACGTGCACGTCCAAATGCCTATGGACGACGTCGGTCGTCGGTGTCGTCGTCTTCGTTTGTCGTCGTCTATCATCATCTATCGTCGTCTGTCGTCGTCTGTCGTCTGTCGTCTGTCGTCGTCGTCGCACCCCCGTGCCACTCCAAGCCTCAACGTTTCGACAACGTGCATCCAAAGACCAGTATGCTGTGGCGAACACCACCGCGCCGTTGAACACAGCGTTCCCTGCAAACCTCCTGCGACCCCACCTGGACTTGCACAACTGGCTAAATTAGGTGATCCTGCGGCAAGGGGTGGGCGAGCCCAATAACCCAGGATATCGCCCGACCCCAAAAAACAGTCTCCTGCGTGCACCATAGTGCACGCCCGCGTGCACAACAGACCCTAGGCTGCCCGGGATCGTGCGCTGTATCGGGGCCGGGGCGTCACCGCTACGGGAGGGTGGAGGGGAGGAGGGGGGTAACATGCGTTATGCCTTGGGTGGATCAAACATGTTTCATCATTATCAACATCACAACTCTCCTGGTGACACGAAGCGTCACACGTGACAACCTGCCGTGCTCCCTCGAACTGTGGCCACCGACAGCTGGCACGGTGGCGGGACTTGCGGAAGCAGCTGGGTGTACCTTGTCCAGGGCTGGGTGTGAATCGAAATCCCCCTCGGCTACTAGACCGCGCGTGCGGATCGCCTGTCATGCTGCAACGGAAAACATTAGCCCGACGAAGGACACACCCATATGTAGTTGTGAGCACCGCACTTGCCAGTATCATTTTCGGTGGAACTCCCTATGGGGCCACGAAATGTGTGAGGGATGCGCCGAACTCGGCGCGGTGGCGCCATGCGAACCCTCCCACTGAGGCCTTTGGTGGAGCTCCCATGGGGCCACGAAGCGTGTGAGGTGTGTGCCGAAACGGGTGCGGTGGCGCCGTGCGAACGCTCCCACTGGGGCCTTCGGTGGAGCTTCCTATGGGGCCACGAGGCGTGTGAGGGGTGTGCCGAAACGGGCGCGGCGTCGCCATGCGAACCCTGCCATCGAGGCCTCTGGCGGTGCTCCCTATGGGGCCTCGGAGCTCGTGAGGGGTGCCGAAAGGGGTGCGGTGGCACCCCGCGACCCCCGTCGGCGGAGCACCCTACGGGGCCACGGAACGCGCAAGAGGTATGCCGAAGCAGGTGCGGTGGCGCCGTGCGAACCCTCCCGCTGGGGCCTTCGTTGGAGTTCCCTGCGGGGCCACGAATCGTGTGAGGTGCGTGCCGGAACGGCGCGGTGGCGCCATGAGGACCCCGCCATGGGAGCCTTCGGCGGAGCTCCCTATGGGGCCAAGAAGCCTGTGAGGGGTGTGCCGAAACGTTTGGGGGGGGGCGCATGGATGAGGAAGGTGGGGTGATGATGATGCTGATGACGATGGTGATGATGATGATCATCATCATGATCATGATCATGCTTATGATGATTTTTTCACCGCTCCACTTCTGAAGAGCCCAATTGTTGCATACGTTCTATATGCTGCCGACTCTGTGTGCTGAAGAGTTGCATCGTTGAACTGAGTAGTTGCACCTGCTCAAAAAGGGAAAGTAAGGCAGTGCGCAGTGCCAAATGACGAAGGTGTCGGGATGCGGCTCTGGAGGAACAGCGCTCCAAAAGGCAGGAGCTGTACACTCTAGCATGCCTGCGCTCAGCAACCGAGGAAGCCCTCACAATCAGGTCGTCTCGATATAAGCGAACACCATGCTGACGAATGGTATCGGCAACGACCTCGGCGCCCAGCGAGGTATCCACCAGAGTCGAAACATGAAACTCAGGTACAGGAGGCAGAAGTACCCACACATCGCCAACCCGAAGACCGCCATGAAGAAAGACACGATCAGCCGCAGGTCGCTGAAGAAGGTCTTGTAGCGCAGGAAGAAGAACCCACACCGCAGGCACGTCGGCAGGCCAGCGCCGGAGAGCGAGAGCGCCAGGCTGACGAGCAGACTGAACACCAGCAGGGCCACGATCATCAGCGACTTCGTGAAGGAGATCGGCAGGGACGTGAACATCATAATCATGACCACTACGTGAACGAGGATCGTGATGAACAGAACGAGCCACACCATCATGTAGATCAGCACGAACTCCGCGAATAACATCAGCGACAACGCCTTCACCAGGAGAAAGAACCGGAGAAATAACAGCACGACATTGATGAGGAACCTCAACGCGAGGACAACAATCATCAGAAACTGCTCCATGAACCGCAGGAACTTCACGAAGATCAGCAGATACGCCCCGACGATCCTCAGAAACCTCACATCGCGCAGAAACTCCACGAAGAACATCAGAAACTCCCCGAATATACCATGGACCATCACGAAGACCAGAAACTTCACGACGGAGAGGAGCTTCCCGAAGAGCATACATCTGCTTGCGCGGCTTCTTCGGTGGGCCCGAAACCGACACGCAAGCCCACGGGTCGCGCCCAGGAGCACTCCAAGGGTCACTGCGAGACCTAGGAACTCCACGGCGACGAAGGTTAGAACGATTGTCACCGCCGCCATCCAGATTACCACCATCGTCCTCGCCACTACTATCAGCAGGAGGCCCCCCTCATCCACGGTCAGGCTGGGCAGCAGGTACGCCAGCGGGGCAGGACGAGAGCCAGATCCCTATCTCCGTAGTGCCGTCCGAGTGTGCCCTCGGTCAACCGCAGTGTGAAGGCGAACTTGGTGAACCACTGTGTCCAGAAGTCGAAGCTGCATCCTTCTCGAGATTTCCGCGAGTCCACGTTCGGGGCGCACCAGGATCTTCACCCTGGCCCGTGCCGTGTTGAGCGCTCCCCCAGAGGAGATGTGGACAACGGAGCCGTTCTCGATTTGTCGCCTCACCCACGCCAGACGTTCGGACACCACCATAGCGCGCCGAGGGGAGGAAGGCCGCGGCGAAGAGGGGCGGGGCGGGAAGGGCGCAGGTGCGCCCGCGATGTAACCGACCAGGCAGGTGCCGTGGGCCAAAATGGCTACGGATCATGATGATGATCATGACGGTGATACGGATTGTGATGATGATGGTGATGCTGATGCTGATGCTGATGCTGATAATGGTGATGATGATGATGATGGTGATGGTGATGATGACGATGGTGGCAACGACGATGTCGATGCTGCTGCTGCTGATGACGATGACCATGACGATGACGATGGCGATGATGATGATGCTGCTGCTAATGATGGTGATGATAATGATGATAGAGGAGGTGCTGGGGAATGCATCTGTCTGGATCTGGAATCGGTGGCTGATCTGGTCTCCCGCACTACTTCCCGTCTGGTCTCTTGGATGGTCCCCAACATCATCTGCCGTAAGGTCTCCCGTATGATCTTCCGTATGGTCTCACGCATTGTCTCCTGAAAATTCTCCCGTGCGGTCTTACGCATGGTCTTACGGATGGTCTCCTGTACGGACTCCCGTGTGGTCCCACGTATGGTCTCCCATGTGGTCCCCCGTGTGGTATCCCGCATAGCCTCCCGCATGGTCTCCCGGATGGTCACCCGTGTGGTCTCCAAAATGGTTTCCAGTGTCGTCTCCCGTATGTTCTCTTGTATGGACTCTCGCATGGTCTCCCGCACGGTCTCTTTCCCGTATGTGCAGTACAGTGCGAGCTTCTCTGTATTACTATGTGCTAGCGCTGTTTGGGGTCGTCTGTCACCAGGTTGTAGCTGTGTGGGCATAAGACGCTCATGGTATCAGGACCTCGTCGTTTCAATGTTCGCAGCGCGCGCGATCTCCATCGCGAGTAGGTAGGGGAGGATGTCTTGATAGGGGACAGGTGCGCCGAAGATGGGGCCAGTGAGAGGGGGGCTGAGCGCGTCATGGCCCGAGGCATGTTCGCGGAAGAGGGGGAGCCATGGAGCGTCTTGATGGAAGAATTGAGGCATGGAGTCTCGATTGACCTGGGAAACCTCAAAGCCCTGGGCATGATATCCACACCTCCCTACGCAGTCCTCGCTCGCCTCTTGGATGCCGCTGGTGAAAACTGCACGGCCAAGAGCACTGGGACTTTCACCCCGAATCGCTCCTCGGCGGTCCCGTGGCCCTGGGGGGGGAACCCAAAAGAGCACGAGAACGGCGAGACACCTGCAGGACCCCAATTCTCCAGCACCTTTTCTCTTCATGACGACGAGCGTTGGCCCCTTCCGTTCGATCCCTTCCCCGCCAAGGGAGGGTCCCGAGAAGGGTCCCCGGGGGGATCACCACCCGCATACGCATCCCCCCCCTGGACGGCCTCGGGGCCCAGAAAAGCGCCAACGTCGTAGCTGAGTCGGAAGGGAAGCCCCTTCCCTTTGATCCCTTCCCCGCTGGGGACGGGGTGGGGGCCGGGATGTTTCGGAGGGGGGTCCAAGGAGGGGGTCCCGAGGAGGGGTCGTCACCCAGATGCGCGCATCCCCCACGGGCGGTCCTTGGGCCTAGAAAAGCGCCAAGACGCGGCCAGAGTGCCCTAAGAGCGGCCCACAACTGTCCAAAATGCCACAACGGCCTCCAGACGGCCCAATACGTTTCCAAGACGCCCCAAGAAACCTCCAAGAGCACTCCCAAGCGAGTCCCGAGGCAAAATTCGCAGATTTCCCGTAGTTTCTTGATTCATTCTGGCGCTCTTGCTATCTCCGCTTCCCGACGCTCCTACCCGCCCCAAACGCCCCCAATGACGCCACAAGATAGCCCAACAGGCCTCGAACAGCGCCCCAGAACGACTCCAGACAGCCCCAGGACGGCCCAAAAGGCCTCCAAGACGGCGCCAGAAGCCCAAAGACGGCCCCAAGAGGGTCCCCAGACAGAAGAACCTACGAGCTTTCGGTGCCAGAGGGCCCCAGCCCCCACGAATCCGTGCCCCCAAAGAACCGCCAGGAAGCCCCAGGAAGCCCCAGGGGGTCAGAAATTCGTGGGGTTCTTGGGCACCTCTCGGGGGCCTCGTGCAGCCTCTTGGGCACTCTTGGGAGCGTCTGATCCCAACCTTCCCGAATGCCTCTTTCATCGTGGGGGTCGTCGTCCATGATCGGCGGCACCGGCCGTAAAGCCTGAACAATCGTGCCAGAACACCATTCTGCGGACTCCAACCAGACGATCCTTGGGAGTGTCGCACACTTCGAAAACGAACGCGCGCGGCGCTGAAGCAAGAGCCACATGTTGAAAAAGAGCCGCCGTCCATCATTGAAACTGCTGCAAACGTTGAAACGGAATGTGCGCGGTGCTAATGCGAGAACGACATCTTGATCACTGTCCACCCTCTGTCCTTGAAGCTGCTGCAACTGTTTAAGACGAACGTGCGCGGGGCTAAAGCGAGAGCAGCATGCTGAAAGCCACCCGCCCTCCATCATTTGAATTTGTTTCGAATCTCCAGCGCCAGAATCATCAACTCTGATCAAATCAAAATATCAGGCGAAACGCAAGGCCTGCCCTGCAGGCACACATCTGACATCCTAGCCCTCCCTCCCATCGCTTCCCGTTGTGCTGATGCTGCCCCTATCCGCGGGGGCGTGTAGTAGCGAGCCTGCAACTCCAAATAACACCAGATCGTGTCATGCGCAATCGGACAATGAGAGCTGCCTGCACAGGAGATGGCGGGTAAGTAGGAGGATTAGCAGAAGGAAAACAATAGTGAGGACCGAGGAAGGCGAGGACGAACAGCAGCAGCAGCAGGACCTGGAGTGGAAGGAGCGGCAGGAGCATGAGGACCAGGGAACACCATGTGGAAGGACCGAGAACGTTCGAATGGGAACAACACAACTAATCAATATCAGCTAACGCAACCCTGTGCGTCAAAAACCAATGCACGAAGAGGGCGGGGACACGCTCAACACGTGAGAAAGGAGAGTAGTAACTATCCGTTGTGAGAACTTGTGCCAGGTGGAAAAGGACAGTGAGAAGGAGGAGGAGGAGGAGGAGGAGGAGGAGGAGGAGGAAGACGGTGCTTCCATCGGCCGCGCCGTAAACCGGCGCCGAGCTGGGCCGGCCAGCGGCGCTTTCCGGCCGTCAAGCGGCGCCCTCGGGGCGCCTCACGCCGAGAAGGGCGCGCAGGTTCCCGAGAGGCCCTCCAGCTGGCTGTGCGCCCGCGGACGCCCCGCCTGCCCCCTCGGAGCTGCCCAGCGGCGGCGTCGGCCCAGCCGCTGGTGCCTGCTCGTGCTGCGCCTGCTGCTGGTGCTGCAGCTCCTCCAGGAACTGGTCGATCTCCTGCAGCTTGCGGCACCGCTCGATCTCCTTCTGCAGCCTCTCCTCGTTGGGCTCGGCCCGCGGCTGGCCGCCGGACTTCCCTCTCGAAGCCACGGGCGGCACCCTGGCAGCGGGGGAGCCTGCCGTCGCCGCGCGAGCCGCCGGCGAGCGCAGCGTCCCCGGCGAGCGTGCCTGCCCCGGCGCCGCAGGCCCTGCGGCCCCGAAGGGCGTGGCGAGCCCGCCTGCGGCGCGGGGGGACGCCACGTCCACCGCGGGCGCCAGCGGCGTGGCCACTCCCGTGGCAGACCGTGGCGACACGCCCGCCGCGGAGGACGCCCACGGCGACGCCAAACCAGCCGGCGAGGGCGCCGCGAGAGGCGCGCCCAGAGAGGCAGCGGCGGCGGCGCCGGCCACCTGGGGCGGCACCTGCCCGGCACTGGCCGCGGGGTCCGACGGCGCCGTGGCCCCTCGCGCCCGCGGCTGCTCGCAGCCTCGCCGCCTCGCTCCTGGCCGATCGGAGCCCCAGGGCTCGCCCGGCGCGGCGGGGGCATCGGCCCACGGGTGCAGCGCCTTCCGCATGTAGGCGACGCGGCACCTCTGCTCGTCGTAGAGCTCCAGGCCGATGGCCTTCCACTCCGCGGCGCTGCTGGCCGAGAAGCCCCAGCGCCTGTGCGCCGCCAGCGCCGACCCGTCCCGCTTGCCGTCCCAGCTGGCGCCGCCGTCTTGAGACAAGTCCGCAGCGCTCCACAGATCTCGCATGCCCTCGCCGCGGCAAATAGCCTCCGCGGCCTGAACCATCGGCCAGCCCTTCCCGCCAGCGCTCCGCTGCGCGGACACGTAGTCGATGCTGATGGCCCCCTTGCTCCTGTGGTCCTTGGGCGCCTGTCGCCGGAGGAGCAGCGCGCCGACCATCTTGCCGCTGGAGGCCGAGGGCGCCTGCGCGCCCGCAGTCCGCTCCCAGACAAGCCAGTTGTCGACCCTTCCCCCGCGCGCCACGCTCGAGCAGCGAGAGGTCTGCTTACCTAGGGGCCTCCCAACTGGGGTCCGAGAACATGGAGTCGGAAGATCGCGCCGCACCGCCGATGCATGGCTGATGCATTGCCGATGCATCGGCGATGCGTCGGCGACGTCGGCGACGCATCGGCGACGTCGGCGTGGAGAACATCGGGCTCCACATCGAGCCGCATCGCCGATGCATCGGCGTTGCGGCGCGATACTCCGACCCCGTCTACTCCGGCCCCATCTAGGAGGCCTAGATTACCGTTCCGGAGGCGCATGCCGTTCAGCTGGAGGCCAAGATGGTTGCTGATGGTCTGCTTCGACACGACGTCGTTGCGCCACGCGGCGTGCAAGATGCCCTCGCCGGTCTTTCTCAACTCCTCGGTGGTCAGGTGCAGCGGCATGGCAAGCACCTCCAGCAACGCCCCGCCGCTGGCGGCGGGCGCAGGCCTCCGGGCCGGCTGGTACCGCGCCATGGGGCCCGCATAGATGTCGAGGGCGCCCTGGGGCAGCAGCGCCTTTCGACCCTGGACGTCGTCGGAAGGCTCTCGGCTCGCCATTCGCGGGGCGCGCCGCAGTCGCTTCGGTGAGTCCTCCACCTCCACGCGGCCGAGGTGCGCGGTTGTCGGCGGCGTGAGGGAGGCCTCCTCCTTGAACGACCTGGGCGGCGGTGTCGTGTCCGACGAAGACGCCTGGGCCTGCTCGTCCTCGGCCGCATGTTCCTCCTCGGCCCCGGCCGACTTCTCCGCCGCTTCCACGAGCTCCCTCTTTCGCCGTTTGAGGCGGGGCGCGTCCGCCTGATCGTTGGTCATCGGCCCGGGATGGCACTCGAAACAGATGGTGTTGCTCTTCCCGCAGAGATCGCACTTGTATGCGATGATGAGGTTCGGGTCGTAGTCGGCAACGACCATCGTGCAACCCTTCTTTCTACAGGTGGGAGCATCTGCACACTCCTGTAGGCGGCGAGCCTCGGGGGGGAAGTGAGAATATCCAGGCCTTCCCAGAAGGCCGCGGGGCTTCTCAGAAGCCCTCTGGCCTCCCGAGAGGTTGCTCATGGCTCCAGGGAGGGCCCAGAACACTTCTGGGAAGGCCCGAGGCCTCCCGAGCCTTCCGAGCAGGCCCGCCCCTGCTCACTTCCCCCACAAGCTCGCCGCCTGGAGGAGGAGGAGCAGGAGCAGGAGGAGGAGGAGAAGGAGGTTGGTGGAAGGAGGAGGAGGAGGAGGAGGAGAAGGAGGTTGGTGGAAGGAGGAGGACGAGGCTGGTGGGAGGAGGAGGAGGAGGAGGAGGAGGAGGAGCAGGAGGAGGAGAGGAGGGGAGGAGGAGGAGGAGCAGGAGGAGGAGGAGGAGCAGGAGAGGAGGAGGAGGAGGAGGAGGAGGAGGAGGAGAGGAGGAGGAGAGAGGAGAGACAGAGGAGAAGGAAGAGAGGAGGAGAGGAGGAGAGAGGAGAGAGGAAGAGAAGGAGAGAGGAGGAGGAGGAGGAGGAGGAGGAGGAGGAGGAGGAGGAGGAGGAGGAGGAGGAGGAGGAGCAGGAGGGGTCCTGTGCCCTGCCCCCGCGGCTGGGGCCGCGCCGGTGCTCCCGCAGCCTCTCGAGGATGGCGCCGAGCCTCTGCCCGCAGTGCTGCCGCAGCCCTGCGCGGCGGCCGCCAGGCTGCGCCCCCGCGGCCCCGCGCGCGGGCGCGCCGGGGCCAGGCGGCCCCGCGGCGCCGCCATCGGCCCTAGTGGCCGGAGTGCCGCGGTCGGGCGAGGCCATCCATCCGCCGCTCGCGCGTGGGGCGCGCGCGGCAGCGGTCCGCGGCCAGCCCCCCCCCCCTCCCCCCCTTGGGCAAAAAAAAGCCGAGCTCCGGAGGCCCTGGACCCAAAAGCGTGGCCATCTCTCGGGGGCCCAGCCCTTGCTTCCGCCAGAGGCCGCCGACCGCCGGCGGAAGCCGCCCCCGCCAGCCTCCGCCGCCTTCCGCCGAGGAAGAGGTGATGGCCCTTCCTTCGATCCTCGAAGGCGAGGCCTTGTGTAGAACGCCTCGCATGTCTACGGAGGAAGAGGAGGGGGAAGAGGAGGAGAGAAGAGCGGAGCAGGGGCAGGGGCAGGAGGAGGGCAACGGGAAGGTGGCGGAGGGGGAAACGAGTAACCAAGAGGAAACGTCTGGGATCCGAACGCAGCCCGCGATCCTCCAGGGGTGCGTGGCTCTCTCCTGCTTGGCCGGGGTCCGCCACAGCAGCCGGCTCGCCTGGACAGAAGGTTGGAGAAGGACCAGGAGTAGAGGGGAGCCTCCTCCTCCTCCTCCTCCCCCCGCCCCCTCGCGCCGTGACGCTCCCAAGCCTGTTTCTCATTGTCTCTGCCAAATGCAGTGCCTGCGCCTCGCCGAAGACGCTCTGGGGGTATCGCCCCGAACGGCCGCCAGAGACCCGCATCACCCCAGAAAGCCAAACTCACCGAGCCTCGCAACATCGCAACGCGAGGCTTTTCACCATCTTCGGCCCCTCTAGGAGCCCGCACTGGGCCCCCACGGGAGCCCGCACCAGGCCGCACTCGGGATGGAGAGCCGGTCGGTGGAAGGGGCCGTTGTGAAGAAGGCACGGGGTCGGAGGTCCAGTCCCCTCCTTCTCCCTCGCCTCTCCGCCCTCCCTCGCCAGCCTCCATGCTCTCCCCTCTCCTCCGTGGAGGGGTGCAGGGGGGCGGCACGGGATTTCGGAAGAGCGAGGAGTGGGCAAAGGAGAGAGGGAGATGGAAGCGGGGATGGGAAGCACATGGGAGGGAAGGGTGTGGAGGGGGAGGGGATTCTTCAAGGGGGCACCACTTGTGCCGAAACCTCCTCCTCCTCCCCCTCCTCCTTCCTTCTCTTCCTCCTCCTCTTCCTCCTCAGGTCCCTGACCCTGGCTGCGGGACGGCCCACAGCCGCGGTCTGCAGCGGGCCCAGGGGGGAAGACGCTCGCTCATCGGGCGGTTACCGTGGCCGCCCACGCGCGAGGGGATGCAACAGCAGACCGTGAGAGGTGCTCGTCCGTAGGGGGGGGCCAGGGCAGGCCCCTCCCGCCCCTGCCCAAAAACTTCTGCAGAACTCAACGGCCCGCTCGGCAGCCACGGCCCGCTCGGCAGCCGTCGCGCGAAAGACTTCTGGCGGGCCGCGGTGCGACGGAAAAGTGGCACGTCTGATTCGGCCGATGGCTTCGTGCTCCTTCTTTCGTCGGCGCACGATCACGTTCCAGAGCTGGGCGGCGGGGTCGTCATTGATGGCCGTGGAGCCGTGCACTGGCATGACCGAGCTCCAAAGCTCTTCATCTGGTAAAAGTTCTGTGAGCAGTGCAGATTGCATGACCCAAGAAACACTTTGGAAACGCAGCGGCTCGATGAGGTCACTGCGCAACTCGGGAGACTAGGCCGCTTCGTGTCCAGCATGCACCTCCAGCGTGTCCTTCAGAGCCGATGGCGGCTAGGGGAGCCCGCTCACATCAGGAGGCCGCTACATCGATCAGTCGCGCATGGGGCACGATAGTCATACACTGGACACACCTCCAGCACCCGACGAAGGGCCGAAACCTCTGGGAGCTCAAGGTCCTGCCCCAAACCGTGCTACTGCACGCGCGGGTCTTCTTGGGCCTCGAGCATTCCTGTGCACTCCATGGTGACCACCATGTGCTAGTGTTCGAAGTGCTCCAGCCCTCCTGCTCCTTGCCGCATATGACGCAGCTCCCTTTCTGCTTCTTGACGCGCCAATGGTAGCACTTGGTCCCACAGCCATCGCATGCTGCGAACATATGATGACCTGCGCCTTGCTTGCACAGTGGTGGGAGGACCGCTCAAGGAGGAGCTCATGGGCTGTTCAAGCACGGCCGAATCGCTTTGACCCGGCCTCGGATCAGACGCGTCCACGCTGTCCATGGGGAAACGCGTATCTTGAGCCAAAGCGTCTATGGACGGGGGAGGATTGATGAAGGGAGAGGGGAGGGACGGATGGAGGGAGGAGGGAAGTGGAGAGAGACGGACGGCAGGGCTCGCCGCTGCCGAAGTCGGGGCAGTGGGTGCCCGACTGGTAGAAGAGCGGGGAGCCTCCTGGCAGGGGGACATTGCGGTCAGAACACGGCCAAAGAGAGCGCACGTCAAAAAAGCACGAACATGTCCGCCGAAGGCACCAGGGTACACGGAGACACCCCAGCCGAATCCGCCGACCCTGTCGGCGTGTGTGACGGGGGGATCCTGGGGCGTAGGGAGCCCACAAAGGACGTACGCGCCGAACCATGTACATGACCGCGACCCCTCGATCCGCTAGACTGGCCGCGTGATACGAACATTCGCACAATGCATACTCTCGAAACCAACGTCAATCAATGTACGTGTACGTCCTTCTTGCGCTCATGAGGGTGGTCGTCAAGGGACAGTTCCCGGAGACGCGTTCCCATTCGAGGCTCTCCTCCCCTATCCCTGCGACCACCTGGGGCCGTCCAAGCTCGCCAGCCCGATGTGAGTCGACCCTGTCCGCATCCGAATCGAAAAGAAGCCTCTTCCCCACGGAGGGGTGGTGGGAGGCGGGGGGGGGTCCAGATGGGTGCCTCGGGTGGGTCCTACAGGGAGTGGGGAGTCTGGGGGAGGGCCGCAATACTGTTTGGGAATCGCGGTCGTCTTTGAGGTGTTGGGAGCCGATCCAAGAGGCCAAACTCGGCAGCATTGAGGTCCATGCGGTCGGAACATTATCGCCGCATCGGTCGCAAGAGCGCCGGAGAGGACCCAAGAAAATCCCAAGGCCAGCCCAAGATTGCACAAGATGCCCTCATGACGGCTCCAAGAAGAGCTCAACAATCATGGGGTAGTCGCACCGCTGAAAGCCAATCCCTCCAACATGATCCCACGATCTCCAAGGTCTGGACGAGGCCCGAGACGCACCCAAGGGGGTCACCAAGGCCCCCAGGAGCCCGAAGGAGCCTTCCAAAAGCCCCCAAATGTCTCCAATGCCTCTGGAGCACGAAACAGATGCAGTGGCGGGATGGGCCGAGGACCATCGTATTCATTTTCGCCCATGCAAGAACCACTGCCCCTGGCACCCGTCCCCCTTCCACCTCTTGCGCCCAAGCTGTTCCTTTCTCAGAGTCGGCCGAACTGACAGTGACGCTTCTGCAACAAAAGTCAAAGGTGGAGAAACCAAGCTTGGAATGCACGAGGGCACCCCTCAACAACTGAGGTGTAAGCCTCGTGCCAGCTGTAACCCAGCACCGTGGACGGACGGGAAGGGCGCTTGGACGAAGAGCGAGGAAGAGAAACTGATATCAACGGCATGCTCTACCAACTTCTGGGGGGGGGGTCGTCGCTGGCACTCCTTTCTCGCACCCCCTGGCACCGCCTCTTCCCTTCTATCCGTCTCTCTCTCTCTCTCTCTCTCTATTTATATATATATATATATATATATATATATATCCCACCGTCCCGTCTATCTGTATCTCCCCATCTCTCTCTCTCACACTATCTCCCTATCTCCCTATCTCGCTCTCTCGCTCTCCCTCTCTTTCTCTCTGTGTCCCCCCTCTAGGTGTGCAGGTCCCTCTCCATATGTTATTGAGCGCATGGGTAAACGATGGCGATGGAATCGGCAACAGTGACGATGTCGAGTCCACAGCCTGGAGAGGACGGATGGTGGCTGAAATGAGGGATGACAACGAGGATCAGCTTCAGGACGAGGAAGATAACGAAGGAGGAAGACGAGAAGGGCAGGAGGAGGAAACTCGAAGGAGAGCAGGATGAGGAGGAGGAGGGCATGAGGGATGAGAACAGGATGAGAGGAGAAGGGCGGGAGCATGAATTCCAGGAATAGGAACTTGAGGAGCAGGGCGGTGGTAACAGGAGGAAGAAGCTCGACCCTCGCACCTCCTCCTGCCGCTCTTCTTCCCATTGGCACGCTTTGAACAACACTACAGAGGCACACCTTTTACGTCCGCTCGCCTGCTGGCTTCCGCCGGCGGCCCCGCCGCCGTTTTCCTTACCTCGGCCAGCTTCCGCCGACCTTCCGCCGGAGAAGAGATGGCAATCCGCTCGACCCCTGGAAGGCGGGGGCCTTTCTGGAACGCCTCGGGGCACGGGTCCAGGCCACCGCGGCTTTCCGACGGGGCCAGCCCCTCACCCCGTGCCGACGTTTGACGGCCCTGGCCCGTGGAGGGCCCCGAGGGCCCGAGCACAGCGGGAAACTCCAGGGCGAGCGATCCGACGTCACGAAAACTATGCTCCTTGGTGCCCACGCGTGCGACCATCGACGGCTAACGATGGCCATGATGCCAGGACGCCAGGAGGAAAAGGAGGAGGAGGAGGAGGGGGAGGGGGAGGAGGAGGACGAGGAGGAGGAGGAGGAGGAGGAGGAGGAGGAGGAGGAGGAGTGGGAGGAGGAGGAGGAGGAGGAGAAGGGGGAGGAGTATAGAGGAGATGCCAGGAACTCAGGACACCAGGAGGCCAGAAGATCAGGATGACAGGGTACCCGGATGCCAGGCGGCCGGCAGGCCAGGGCGCCAGCATGGCGAGATCCCAGGATGTCAGGATGCACGGGCAGCCTGCGCGGCCTGATGGACCTGTGGGATCTCCAGAATTTTTTTTTGTTTCGCAAAGCTCGCACAAGCTCGCTCACGCTTCGCACCGGCAGAACCTACATCAATTACGTGAAAGAGCCAGCCGAGCGACCAGCAAGTGCAGCTCTTGGCGCCCACGGCTCGCCAGCCGAACGACCGGTAAATGCAGCTCTTGGCGCCCCTGGCGCGCCAGTAGCCGAACCACCGGAAAATACCGAGACTGCTGAACCTACGGGACCTATGGGACCTCTTGAACATCTGGTACCCGTACATTGTGGGACCTGTAGGTCTCTGTGGAACATGCGGGACGCGACCTGTGAAAGCTGTGGAGCACATGCCACTTGTTGGGCCTGCGAGGCTGGAGCTTGTGAGTCCTGTGGCACCTGAACGTCCTGTGGGACCTGAGCGAACTGTGGCTATGAGACCTGCGAGGCCGGTGGGACCAGTGCGACCTGTGGGGGATGTGCGACCTGTGGGACCTATGAAACATGTGAGATTTTGTCAGATCTATGGGACCTGTGCTTGGATGCCAGGGTGTCAAGGATGCCAGGGATACAAGGGCCACCAGAAATACCAAGATGCCATGATGCCAAGACACCAGGATGGCAGGATGCCAAAATGCCAGGATGCGTGAGCAAACCCAGCCCCAGGACAGAACACGAAATAATCGGAGTTGCTAACAACTGGCCCCAGACATTCAAAATCAGCTCCATGACCTACCCTTGGTCCCAGACGTGAAACATCAGTTTTTTTCTCCCCCATCGAACACAAGCACACGATGCCCGTCCATGGGCAAGACCAATTCGATTGAGCGCGACATCCGCTTCCCCTCAAGGGGGCTATAACCGCGCTCACAGATGACTCGATAGCGGCAGGGCTGTAAATTGGCCGGACGGGTAAACGTCACCACATTCAGGGAGGAAGGGGAGAAGGACGAGGACGAGGGGGGAAAATGGGCCGCGTGGCTGCCAAACACAAGCCGACACGAGCACCCGCAGCTTAGAACCTCGGCCATGGCCAAAAGTAAAAAAACACTGGCGGAAGTAGGAGGACGGGGAGGGAGGAGCGGGAAGGATGAAGGAGAGGAGGGGGGAGCGAAGCCAGATTGCCAATGATACGGATTTGCCTGGCAGCGTATCTTCCCCTGGCCAGCCGAGGCGTTGTGTGGCAGTCCCCTTACTGAATGGCCTAGTTGGCCGAACCAGTAAATCCAACACAACAGGAGTCAAGAGAGGAAAAGAGAACGAAGCAGAACGAGGCGATAAAAAGTAGACAAAGTTAAACAAATATCTGGGCCCAAGCTCATGAGAGACCACGTGAACTTAACATCCCAACGAGCACCATAGCGGCGGGTGCGCAGCGACTGAAACAACAAGTGAAACCGAGGGGCTGACCAGGCCCACGAGATCAACGACTAGAGGGGGGCAAGGCCAAGGGGGGAGAGCAAGGCGGAGGCGGGGGAACCACGGAGTGAAATGCGGCACTTGATGTGGCACCGGGAGCCCTGCCAGCTCAAACATGGGGCCAAATTTAAGCTCAAGTGGCACCGGGGGGCCTACCAGCTCAAACTTCAGGGGTAGAGTTGCGCCCCTGCTGCACTGCCGTGCACGCGGTCTATCGGCCACGCGGCTGGGACTGAGCCGACTGAGCATCCGCACAGCGCATCTCCGGATGCACGCAGTCGCTGCCGAAGATTCTGACTTCACGATTCCGGTGGGAACCTCAACAAACAGCACACACGAAAACGGAGGCGGAGGAGGCGGAAGGCGAGGGAGGGAAGGACGAATGGGACGATAATCGCTCCGCGTAAAACTGTAGATTGCGAGCGTCTTCGACTCAGCCCTGGAAGAGATCGATGGGCCGGCATCCCCAAAATGGAGCGACACGTCGGCGTCCACCCTCAGGGGGCGAGAAAACTCGTGCACAATTTCGACTGCGGCCGAATCCAGGGCAGACGCCCTCCGACGATCCATCGGCCACGCGGCCGGGACAGCAACTGCCGTGCACGCAAACTATTGGCCACGCGGCCGGGGCAGAGCAGACTGGGCCTCCGCACAGCGAGTCACCTATCGCGGACTCGGTGCGCGGCCGCGTCGGGTGTCCCGTGGCAGTGCACTGCCCCCGGACGGGCCGGTACACCTGGAGAGGAGGGAGCGGGAGAGGGACAAAGCAGAAAGATAATAACAATAACGCTAGTTGTCGGAGCGGGGCCTCTTGAAAGCAAGCTGGACGAAGCGTTGGGAGCGCGGATGGCCGACAGCTGTCGCACAAATGTATCCGCGGAGCGCAGCTGGACAATCGCCGCCAGGAAGCCCGTATCGCCAATCGCTGTGTACTTTAAAAATCGCGTAGACGCCGACGGCGCGCAGGGCGGCCGCGTCAGCGGTGGGCGTGGCCGACCTGCAATACGACGGAATAGAACTCACATAAGGGAGGGTTCCGAGAAAATCCCCTACGCAGAACTCCGCGGGGGGCTTTGTGAGACCCAGATGCCTCGAATAGAAGGCG